AAAAACACACAAGCATCCAGACAACAGACCAAGTAATCCTGTCCAATAGCTCACTGATGGTGGTCCTTAAGTTCATTGTTAAGTGCAATTTATAGCTCTGGGATAAAAACTATTCAGAAAACGTGTGTTCCTAAATTGAATTGAATTGAATTAAATTAAATTATTAAATTGAATTAAATTAAATTGCAATGGGTGGAAACTAATCAGCAACTTAGAACTAAGGAAAAATTTCCTTGACGGTGAGAACAATTGATCAGTGGAACAACTTGCCTCCAGAAGTTGTGAATGTTCGAACACTGGAATCTTTTAAGAAGAGATTGGACAACCATTTGTCTGAAATGGTATAAGGTTTCCTGCCTAAACAGTGGGTTGGACTAGAAGACACCCCCCCCCCCGCCACACACAAACACCGGCTCTCTGAGTCAAACACAACCCTGATGTGCCCCTCAATGAATTCGAATTTGGCATCCCTGCTCTAAGTCGAAGTCATGATACACTTTTTGCAAAGAGTTGGGAAGGCAGCAATGATTTGCCTTTCCAAAATGGCCGTCTATACTTTTCTGTCATTTCAAAAACCACGTTTTTAAAAGAGTTTTAATAGCATGCGAAATCTAGCTGTGGAGCTTTAAAAATGAATACCTCTCAAAACTTTTTGAGCTTGTAACCTCTCGCTAAAAGCCAAACTGGTTGTTATGTTAATTGCATGAATTCAGCGAGCATTATGTTAATAGCAACTCTGGGAAAGCCTGTGCAACCCCCTGACTAGGTGGGTGGGGATAAAAATAAAATAAAAGGGATGCTTTTCTTCTTCCCCTGGCCATTTCTCCCTTCTCCCATCCCCAAAATTAAAATGTCTTTCAAAATGATACTACTTGCATTTCAATAGAAACTTCCACTGGAGTTTTATCACTGGAGTTTTAAGTTTCATTTTCAAAGTAAGTATAGGTATTTCTTGACTTACTACCATTTGTTCATTTAATGACCATTCAAAGTTACAATGGCACTGAAAAAGTTCAGTTCTGACGGTAATTCAGGCTTCCCTTCTTTGAGTCTGTAGACTCAAGTCATCCAAGTCATGGTTGTTCCAAAAGTGCTTTTTCTGGTGGCAGCTGGATTTCTTCCAAGAAGTCCAGTTGTCTCCAAAACAAGCACCTTTGGGACAACCATGATCTGGATGACTGAGAATCTTCACAGACTTTTAGCTATACGATTTGGGATGAACACCCTTGGAATGGTGCGTGGGGAAAAGGAATGGATTTCCAGAGGAAAAAATTGCAGACTACAGGAACCAGGAACACCACTCAGGTGAACCCCAAGGACACAGATAAAAACCCCAAGTGCCCTCAACAACCCTCTAAAAGGATGCAAATGACCAGCTGTCCGCAAAGAATATAAATCCTTCCATTCCCCACCATCCTGACAGAGCTGAAGAAGCTTCTTGGGTGAGAAGTGAAACATCTTAAAATGAAAAAAAAAAACCAAGAAAGTCCAGTTGCCTTTTTCAAAAGCACCTTTGGGACCACCATGACCTTAATGACTGAGAATCTCTGCGGACTTTTAGCTATGCAATTTGGGATGAACGTCCTTCGAATGGTGGGAGTAGCAATGGATTTCCAGAGGAAAAAATTGCAGGCTGCAGGAACCAGGAGCACTACCCAGGTGACCCTGAGGACACAGATAAACCTCAAAGTGCTTCAATGACCCTCTAATGCAGGGGTGTCCAACCTTGGCAACTTTAAGACTTGTGGACTTCAACTCCCAGCTTTGCTGGCTGAGGAATTCTGGGAGTTGAAGTCCACAAGTCTTAAAGTTGCCAAGGTTGGACACCCCTGCTCTAATGGGATTTTCTTTCTCATGGAGCTCACCAGCCAGGCTTTTCTGCTTTCAGTGGGAGAAACACTTTTGGGGAAATGGATAAAGTCTGGTGTGAACAAAGCAAGGAGAGAAAAAGGGTTGAAAAACACATTGTTCCTTTCTCTTCCATCTGCATCCCCTTCCCTTTGTTATTGTTTCATATTTTATGGCGTACAAATAGTCTCGAGTGACAACCATTTCTTTAGTAAGCCTTCAAAGTTACAACATTGAAAAAAAGTGACCTATGACTCTTTTTCACACAACCGTTGCAGCATCTCTATGGTCCCGTGATCAACATTCAGATGCTTGGCACCTGGCTTATATTTATGACGGTTACAGTGTCCCAGAAGCCAGGCTCACCTAACAGTTGCATTATTGCTTTTAATAGCCGCGGTGATTCACTCAACAAGTGTGGCAAGAGAGGTCATAAAAAGGGGGCAAAACTCACTTTACAACTGTCTCGCTTAGGAATGTAGATTTGGGGCTCAATTGTGGTTGTAAGTCAAGGACTACCTGTATTCAAGTCTGTCTTGGTAGCACTGACTGAACAGCAGCATGTCAGGGACAAGGCACCCACAGCTAACCTAGATTATGAAGACTGTTGTGGTCTGCTGGCGGCCTGCGGAGACGGCAGCAGAATCAGACAGTGGGGAAAAATATGGGCAAGTCCAGGAGTCTGGGGAGGACTCAGACGAGGGTCCTGCATCTGATACAGAGATGGGGCCAGGGCCTTCTGGGAGTTATGTGCTGACTCCAGAGCCTCCAGAATATGGCAGCAGCGAGGCAGAGGAACAAGGGGAGCCTGTTCCCAGTGCACATTGCGCAGAGCTGCCAGAAGGCAAAAGCAGCTAAGACAAAAGGGGCAACCCGGGAGTGAGGCTTGGAGGTGATTGCCCCTCCCATAAGATATAAAGGAAGTACAAAGGGACAGGAACCTTTGCAGGAAGCAACGTTGTTCGCTCTGTTTGGTTTGGAACCTTAAAGCTCCGTAGTGAATTTGTGCTCCACTTGGTTTTGAAAGACTAATTGGTATTTTAGTTGTTGGCAGCACTTCAAGAAAGATAAAGGTGCGTTATCAGACTTCTCCCAAAGGACTTTGGCAGACTTCCATGGGACTATTTATAACTGGTTGAGACTCGTTACAGGCTGTGAATGACGATAATTCACAGCCGTTGAACTAAAGAAAAAGGGTTTTGGATTTAACGTATGTTTGTTGGTGTCTCAGGAAGCCTTAGTCAGAACAGTGACAGCACACACGTGGTTGTAAATCAAGGACATACATACACACACACACACAGAGGCCATTGTAACACAAATCCTGTCCTCATGTTCTTGGTGTCCCAACTTCTGATGCAGTATCAAATTATATAAGTTGCAGGTTTTTTAAACACGAGGCAACATTTTGTAACTCCATCCTCTACCAAATGCCCATGAAGACAAGTTTCAGAAATAAATGCAATACATAGGAATGTGGTTTCAGTAGGATTTTGTTTGTCTTTTGTTTGCCAGCAAACTCTCCTACTATCAAGGCTAAAAAATCTTGGACCAAGGTATGCTTTCATAACGGCAAGATAGAAATATAAGTTTAACAAGCGTAATGTAATTTCACATAACACCATCTGCCATGGTGACATCTTAAGCAAGCCAAGGAGTGGGTAACCTGCATTATACTGTAAAGTTATAACTTTCCAGCTTTCAGTCTCTGCTTACTCATCTCTCCAGTTTCATCAAGCATAGCTTACACACTGTTGAAAACTCATTTTAAGCAGCATTAGTAGATGCAGGAATTAGATACCTTTTCTGTTTTGATAGGAAGCAACAGTATTGGTTGTAGAATCCTGTTTAGCTAATTATATCTGACAATCTCTAATATTTTTGGGAGTGCATGGTACTCCCCCCGCCTCAAGAGACAACTGGACTTTCTGGTTTTTCTTTGAAGATTTTCAGCTTCTCATCCAAGAAGCTTCTTCAGGTCTGACTGGATGGTGGGGAATGGAAGGATTTATACTTCTTGCAGACAGCTGGTCATTTGCATCCTTTTAGCCGGTCAGTAAGGTCACCTGGAGGTTTATCTATGTCATCAGGGTCATCAGAGTGGTGTAAATGGGTGTGAACCCTTCTTGGAACTGCTGAAAGGACTGGGTTGTAGATTGGAGACAGATGATGTCGTATCCCTCCCCCTTCTGTTGAGAGAGGGCTGTTCAGTTTTGACATCGATGGCCTCTTCGACGCCTCTTTCAAGCCAGCGGTCCTCTCTGTCCAAAATGTGGATTTTGCTGTATTCAAAAGAGTGGCCTTTGCCTTTTAAATGCAGGTAGACTGTTGAATTTAGTCCCGATGGGTTTGTTTTCCTATGTTGTGCTATCTGATTATGAAGTGGTTGTATTGTTTCCCCAATGTACAGATCTGCACATGGCTCACCACATTGTTCTGCATATACCATATTGCTGAGTTTCTGTCTGGGTGTTTTATCATTGGGGTGGATGAGCTTCTTACCTTAGTGTATTCTTGGGTTTCAAGTTGCCTACTGGAAAACAAAAAAGCACCTTTGGGACAACCATGACCAGGATGACCAAGAATCTCCATAGATTTTGGAGTGAATATTTGTAGAATTCTCATCCTATCTTAAGCTTTCTTGCTATATTTGTTTACCTGGACTAAGAAGGAGCTTCCAGTTTGACTTGTGAAGAACGGCCTTACTAGGAAATCATAGCCAACCAATCTTCTTAGTGCTAGTTCTTAAGAACATGAAAATAAAATCAAGGACTGCGGAGGAAAAGAGTAGCAGTGTTTTGCTCCTTAGAAGAGTAGCCTTTAAGGAAACCATATCCTTCTTCCTACAGATCTTGTAAACCTGAAATGAGCAAAGTTATAATTAGAGATGAATGTTATCAAGGAGTTGACAAGAAGCCACTTAATCATCAGAGTATATTTCTAAAGCTCTGGGGAGAAGAGTAGAGAACATCAAGACTATAAAACATCTCAAATTGTGCTTGGTTTTCTGAAGGAGCTCTTGAGAGATGTCTCATGTCCTGCTGGATAGCAATATGTACTTGGAAGGCTTTTTTCAACTGAACCCGCTCTGCTTTATATTAAGGTAGATTAACTTTCCCTTCTTTTATTTGTTTATTTGCTTACTATTGCAGACACGAGGGTCTGGAGAAGTTGGAAATAGATCCTACCAAATATTCCTTCCCTGACGTGACAAATATCGTCCATAAAAAGGACCAAGCGGGGCAAGGACCTTTAAGGCTTCAGCAGCCCAAAGCTGTAGATGCCGAGAACTTGAGCTTTGAAGACAACCCAGAAGTTCCACCTTTAATTTAGAGAACTAATGCAGAGACAGCTTCTTTCACGGTTAGAACATCATTAAGGTGCATAATTTCTGTCTAACATTCTTCTGTGTACACACACATACTTATTTACTATTCTTCTCTCTGGTGGAAATCGAAATTCTTGCCCAAATCTGTATCCAAATTCTGTTAAAAGTTATATCAGGTCAGGATTAGTTGCATCCTGTTTCACAAGTTCTTTCTTCCAGCTTGGTATGAATTGTTGTTGGGACGAGGGCATCTATCGTAAAAGTTCCTGGCTTCAACATGGCAAACTACCTGTGATTAAAGCCCTGCTCCTTTTCCATTCAAGTGTAAAAGTGCAAGAATGTACAATGTACATTAAAAAGGAGTGGAGGCTTTGATGATTGACCAGCTGCACCCTCCACTGTGAAGGCAGCGGTTGTTTCCTTGAATACTTTGGGAACGTGAGGCAGTAATGATTATTTTTCTTGCCAGATGCTCAGGAAGCCCAGGGTGAAATTAAGAATCATATCATTGCTCTTTGTAGTCAAAGGGCATCGTAATAAACAGTAATGAGCATTCCTGAAGATTTCCTAGACTACGATTCCAACAAAACGTTAAAGAAACCTACAGAAAGGAAGGAAATGCAAATATATTTGGCAGGTGAACGGCATGCTTTTCTTCCTTGTTGGTTCAAACCCTTTAAGTTTGTTTTCTCGCTTCTCCCATTTGTCCTCGTCTCAATTTTAAACAATTTCTACATACACAGCGAACTTTCTTTTTAATTTTAGGCCTGCCAACTATACTAAATGATGAAGGAAGTGCCCTGCTCCTTTCTGCCAGGGACACTCGTTAATTGATCCACCAACAACATTCATAATTTCTCCCTTCTTTTGAGTCCTACCTCCTATCCAAGTTAATTCTTAATAGCTTAGTAAGATAAGCCCTTGTAAGAAACACTGACAGCATTTCCCTCCCCACCCCTTCCAATGCTGTCTTTACCGATTTACCTTTTTCGTTTGAAACATTGCATCTCATTTTCACTAAAATTGTACGCCCGGAGTCATCCCCACTTTAAAACTACAGGTATGGTTCATGTGATCAAATGTTCTTGCGAGTTACACAGAGAAGGTTTGTAACCTGGTATTTGCAGGTATCCACGTAGAAGGAAGAGTTGGCATAGAACTGCATACAAATACACAGGCCTTCCACCTTGAAGTTTGAAACGGCTTATTTGAAAGACTGATGTTAACACTTCAGTAAAAAGCAGAAAACCAAAACACAAATACTTTGTGTAAAGTATTCATATACCAAGCAGGTGATTGCAGCATACCTTTTCCACAGGAAAGCATTTTTCTATAATAGAGGTGAAAAATCTACGTATCCGGTATAGTAGAGCCAGGAATAAAGATAATCTTGAGATGTTGCAGCATCCTTGTTCTTTTGACATTTGCGTGTTCTTGGGGATTTGGGGGGAGGGTTTCCAAGATGCCCTTTTATCACTTTCACACAAGGGTGATTACAGCACTTCTGAATTCTCTTCAGGGCCCATCATATCATCAGTGTTCAGCAGCTGAGTCTGTCATTTTTTCTGCTCAGCTGCAGTTTTGCACAAAATTGTGAATCCAGTTTCCAATGAAGGGGCTGTAGGTGTGCGGAGCTTAGATAACAAGCTATTTGCCTCAGTTGGAAATGTTGGCTTATCTTTCTACCTCACTGCTGGTTCTGCCTCTGTGCACACACACACACACAACACACATACACGTTAAATTATCATAGTATTGTAGCATTATTATGGTTCATCACACAACCAGCCAGATGTTCAGACTGGATTTGGCATCTTTTTGTCTGCCTGTCAAGTCCTTCCCAAAGACCTGAGATAGGCAGATGTGGATGTTTGATGGTGTTACAGATCTCACCGCAGGATGGAAGCTAAAAAAAAGCAGCCTTTTGCAATTGACTTTGGATTTGTCATTGCCAATGGTGTTCAAGAGGTGGTCCAGTTGTTTGGGGAATGCACCTGGGGCGCCTGTTATATACCTTTGTTTGCTTTTGCCTCAGTCGTTCTATTTCTATTTCCAGGTCTTTGTATTTCGTTATCTTCTCCAATTCTTCTCTTCTGCTGTCTCCAGGTACTGCCACATCCACTATCCAGACTTTTTTGCCTTTCTTGTTGACAATTGTTAAGCCTGGAGTGATGTTATTGTTGTTATTTAAGCTTCAATTTGACTCACAGTTTAGGACGGGTAAAACCTTAACATTTCAGGTCCTAACCTAAGAGCTCTTAAGGTAATGTCTGAGTGTGTGTGTGTGTGTGTGTGTGTGGTGTGTATAAAACTTCACAGTTCAGGTCCTAACCAAGAACCTAAGAGCTGTTAAGGTAATGTCTGAGAGAGAGAGTGTGTTGTGTGTGTGTATGTATATGTGTGTTTGTGAATATATTGAGAAGAGGCATGGGGTCTTGCTGATGTGACCTCTGCATATTTTGCAGACCCCTTCAGTTTTCAGCATTTAGGTGCTTTAAATCAGGGGTCATCAACCTTTTGGACCTCAGTGACCACCAAACTCTTAATTTTAAATCCCAGGGACCACTAACCGGTTCTGTGGGCATGGCCTAATTTGTGGGTGTGGCTTGGCGGTCATGTGACTGGCTGGGCATGGCTTGTATGTAAATATAAATATTTATATAAATATTGATTTTTTTTATTAAAAAAGAGCAACTTTTACCCAAAATCAGGCAAAGCAGGCAAGCAGATTGAGTTGCTCACAGAATCATACGTTCATTCAGAGATCTATCTATCTGCCATCAGCTAGCTCAGTCTCTCAAATTTGCTTGCCGTGAGTCTGCACTGAATAATAGAACCTTCAGTCCTAAAGGAGGTTCGTCTGTGCTTAAAAGCAGAGCCGAAGATCTAAAGACTAGCTAGAAAGTAAGAAATGCAACCATTTCCTGCTTCCTAGCTAATCTAAATCTCCTGGCACAGCAGAACAGCTGATGGTTGGAAAAATAGCAATTTAGCAGGCAAGTTTGCCGGGTAAGGAGTGAGTGGGCGGGGAGGGTTCCCACGGGCCATGTGGACGGCGCAGCCTTGTGTTTCTGTGCAGCCTGGATTAATTGCTTTGGGGGAGGGTGCTCTGGGGGTGAGATTTCTCTGCAGCCCACCAAAATTTTCTCACGGCCCACCAGTGGGCTGCGGCCCACCAGTTGGCGACCGCTGCTTTAAATAATACAACAGCTGGGGATGGGAGTTTGTCACTGTTTGAATGCTGCTGTTCTTGTTTGTTTTGTTTTGAACTCTGGGCTTCTTTCCAACTCCTTAACGACAGCTTTGCTATAGGTCCTAGGACCAAGGGGGAGGCCTCTGAACACGGAACAATCACCAATATTCTGAGCAGCTGTTTTTTCCCATAGAAGAGAGAATCTTTCTCTCTGCAGCCTGGACTGAATTGACTCATTTTTTTTAAACTTAATTTTTCTTTGCCAACGTCTCTCTCCATGCCAAATTTGGCCCTGTTCATTCATTTTTCAGAGACTTGCCCTAATGATGAATAGAACCCTGAGGCTCTCTAGATAATTTCTTTTCAAGTGTTGGGAAGAATAAAAGGGGTCCAGAACAAAAAAAATGATTCTCAGAGAGTACAAATGATCCACTGGGCCAAATTCATAATAGGCTAGGTCCTGAGATCTATAAATTAGCTTTGAAGGATGAAAAAAGATCTCTGGAAACCATGTTCGTGGGAGAGAGATACATAGAAAAAAAAATGCTTCTAATTGTGGCTGTTCTCTACTAAAATTTTAGGTTAGACTGCGCAAAGATACGGTTAGGGGACTTGGTAGCCAGAGAAACATTGGCAAGCATCTCAGTTTCCCAAGAGAAAACTAGTAATTTAATCAACGCAGAATTCACAAACATAGTTAACAGCCTCCCTGGGATCTGTGGTTTCCAGTTCTTGCTGGCTTTTAAGATTCGTACTGCTGCCTTCCCTGAAAGAAAACTCAATGCTTTAGCCAATTTTCATGGCCCCCACACAACATGTCACACAAGTTATGTAGATGGGCACAGCCAGCATGGCTGAACTGTTCTGCAACATTTAGAACCGTATTGACAGAGCCAGCTAGAATCTGGGAAGACTCGGGTTAAAATCCATCTTTGACCATGTAAGTCGGGTATCAAACTCAAGGCCGGGTTTGGCCCATGGGGTGCTTAGATCTGGCCTGTGGGGCTGCCCTGGGAACAGCAAAGGACCGGCCCGGAGTACCTCTGCCAGGGGAGTTCAGGAGGGCCATGTTTGATTCTCCCTGACTCCGTTTTTGCTAGCAGAGGGCTGCAGGAAGCTATCGTGGCCAAAAACGAGGCCAGGGGAGGGACACATGGCCCTCCCAAGCTCCATTTTTGCTGGCAGAAGGATAGCAAAACAAACTAAAAAGAAAAGGAGAAGTGCATTTGAGCATGCAAGAAGGGACAGGAAAAGAGAAAGGGAAGGAGGAAAGGCAAAGAAAAAGATGGGAAGAGAGAAAGGAAGGAAAAAGAAGGAAAGAGGAAGGAATAAGAAAAGAGGAGGGAGGGAAGGAAGGAAGGAAGGAAGGAAGGAAGGAAGGAAGGAAGGAAGGAAGGAAGGAAGGAAGGAAGGAAGGAAGGAAGGAAGATTATAATGAAAGTGAGGGTCTGAGGGAAGTCCTGCCTTAGCACTTGGCCACCACAGGTGCCCCTGACACAAGTCGTGGCCCCCCTGGCCACACCCCTCGGCCCTTCTGAGGTCAAAGACAACCCTGATGCAACCCTCAGTGAAATCGAGTTTGACACCCCTGATGTAAGTCATCAGTTGACTTTGGGTCTGTAGGTCCATCTCTGTCTCTTTCTCTCTCTCTCTCTCTCTCTCCTTCCCCCCATTTCTCGTTGGGTGGAAAAATAAACAGCACTCTACATTGCTTTTGGTTTGGTTTGATTGCTTATTTTACCTTATGACTATTATTAAGTGTTGTACCTAATGATGCTTGACGAATGTATCTTTTCTTTTATGTACACTGAGAGCGTTTGCACCAAGACAAATT